CCCCGCCACCCAAAATACCGTGAGTGCTGCTGCTGAGCACAATCCAGAGGAGAGGCAAACTTGTAAAAACATTACACTGTGTCCTCATCCATTTTATTCATCTGATCTGGCACATTGACTTCTGGCTTTTCCTCAAAGTCAAAATGTTCATGAAATTTGAATCAGTTAAGGACATTAAGGCAGCCATGACAATGTAACTGAAGCTACTCATGGAAGAAGACTTGTAGAACTGCTTTAGTGTGTAGCAAGAATGATGGGGTAAGAGTGTTTAAAGCAGGAGGGAGTATTTTGAGGTGCATTAACACGTTAATGAGGGGGCTGTAATTTGTTTTGCTGCCAGACAGCTCTGATTTGAATGTGTTATATTTCTGCCAGCTTGAACCACGGGTGGTACATGCATGACTGTCCCATTGGATGTCTTGGGATAGTCATGAATTTGCCTCTGGTGGTTCCAGTTGGCAGTAAATGTTTTAATGGGAGCGTGTCTTTTACGGTACTGTTTTTAAATTTTTCAGTATTTGGGGGTGGGGGGTCTTCGAAACAGGGTCTTGCTATGTAGTTCAAGCTGGCCTTGAACTCACTATGTAGTCCAGGCTGGCCTCAAATTTGTGATCTTCCTGCCTCAGCCTTCAGAGTGCTGGGATTATAGGTGTGCTCCACCAAGCCCAGCCCCCTTCCTTTTGTTAATGAAAGCAGATTACATATTTCTGATCTTCAATACATTTCTCCAGCTAAAATTATGACCTGACAATTGTGTGGTTTTCAGTGTCTGCATAGTGGAAACATCTAGGGAACTTCGGAATTAAATACAGATGTTTAGTCCAAATCACTGGAGATGTTGTTAAAATTGGTCTGAGATAGTTAAGTATTTTTGCTACAAGCATGTGATCAGAATCACCAGGGTTCTGGCTTTGGTCCCAAAGCAAACCCTTCTGAGCAGAATCTCCCACAATGTGTGTTTTTATTTTTAAAGTTTCCTATTGAGTCTAATCAACCAGTTTGGGATATATTTCAGAAATATGTAGCTATGGTCGGGGATTTAGCTCAGTGGCGCTGTGCCTGCCTCACAATTAATTAATTTAAAAAATGAAACTTAATTGTTTAAAAAAATATGTAGCTATGAAAGATTTATCTGTGTATTCCTATTGAACTTTGTAATAGCTGGATGGTGGGGGTGAATTTATAATCTACTTGCTTTATTCCCTTGGTGTATTTTATGTACAGTTCAGTCTGTTTCTCATCTGTAAAATGGGATAATGTTTACGTTGTTAGGGATTTAATTGAGACAGTTTATGCTTATTGTAGGTATTTCAGATAACTTCATAAAACGATAATAAACAAAAATTGTGGATTCAGAGTATTTTAATACTTTAGTATGTTTAAATATATACACATACAATTTTATGATATTCCAGAGCTTTTTATTACATGCAAAATTTGTATACTACTTCTTAGATATGCAATACACATTTACCTTTATCTCCATCTGGAATCCCTGCTTTTTTGTTTTTGTGGTGCTAGGTATTGAATGCCTAGCCTTGTGTCTGTTGAATACCTGCTCTGTCACTGAGCTATACCCCAATCCCTGATCCCGTTTTTGATATACCAGGAATTGACGATAGTGGGAATGTCTTTTTGAAGGTTTAAAGCAGTCTTGTTAAACATTGAGGGGTGGGATGTTGTTTGGGTTTTATGCAGTGATCTGTTTTGTTATTTCTATATTCTTTCCTTCCTTCCTTCCGTCCTTCCTTTCTTTCTTTCTTTCTTTTATTTTTTTTAAGACAGGGTCTCACTTTGTAGTTCTGGCTTGTCCTGCCTGAACTCACTATGTAGCCCAGGCTGGCCTTGAACTCGAGGCAAGCCTCCAGCCTCAGCCTCCTGAATGTTGGGATTACAGGCGTGCACCTCCATGCCTGGTTTAAGTGCCCTTTGCTGGTTTTCCCAACACATTATTTTGGACTTTGTGTTTGCTGCTGAAAAAAATTATAATTCAAGGTAAATTAAAATGTGTTAATATACTTATTTATTTTGTTTTAAATATGCTGCAGACTTTATTTCAAAAATTATGATCTATTTTAGGTTCTAACCACAAAGATGAATTTTTACTCTGTAGACTTGAAAGAACATGCCCAGAAAGGATATTAGTTTGATGAATTACCTACCTTAAAAATCTGTCATTGAAAAAAATTAACAGAGCAAAGGAGAAGTAAAGTGATGAGTATGAATGAGTTACTAAATATGTTGTCAGGAATAGAGAAATTTGTGATATAAAAACAGAAAGAGAAATTAAAGATATTAATGTACAATCAATATTTTTAGATCTAATGAGACGTCAGGAAGAACTCAGACGCTTGGAAGAACTCAGAAACCAAGAGCTGCAAAAACGGAAGCAAATACAACTTAGGTAAGAGAACATCATTGTATTATAAAATGAACATATATGTGCATGTGTAGAGTTTTCATTGTGTGTGTTATTAATAAAAATCGCACTACCCATTTCAAACAAGTGGTACAAATAGGAAAATAGGGGAAAAAAGAACATAGCTCATTTTTAATCCATGTAGGGGATTACTTTATATTCAGGTATAATTCTTTGTTAGTGTATTCTTAGGATTTTTTAGATGGTTAAGAATACTTTGAGTGCATATACTTTGAAGTTAAATAAGGGGCATAGGCAGTATTACCTGTAATTTATTGTAAGAATATTCACTGATTTACTAGACTTTTTCTTTAAAAAAACAATATTTTTGACCTGCTATTAACATCTGTCTGGTCTTGTGTCGTCTGTTCTTTCTTTCATTCTTTCCTTTTTTGGTACTGAGAATTTTAATCCGAGTTCACCTTACTGAGCTTTGTAAAGAGATCCCCAGCTTTGTGAAACAATTTTTTATGTTCAGTCCAGGTCTCGCTAAATTGCCCAGGTTGGACTCAAACTGTCTTTTTGGTTTTGGTGTTGTTTTTTTGGCTCAAACTTTTGATCATCTTGCCTCAACACCCCACAGCCCTGCAGTTACTGTTGTGTGCCACCACACCTAGCTTCCTTTCTCTTTTTCAACTGACCATAACACTATTTATAGCTGTGCATTTTAATGCTACCAGTAAGTTGTTTAAAAGATTTCTTGAAGACAACTCTGGTGAAAGCAGTGTGGACATTTAAAAATCAACACTATGTAATAACCATGATTATCAACTTAAAATTTTTTTATATTAACTAAGGAAGTTTAGGGGAGTGATTGGATTCAAGAGGTATATAAAACATCAGTTTTCCTTGGGCCTAAAATATTTTATTGTGATGTCTAATGGGATAAATAGTACTGTTTCAGGTTCCAAGTATCATAAACGCTGTGATAGATGAATCAAACTTAGAAATTTTGATTTAAAAGTGCTATGAAAGTAGTAAGTACTAGTGGTAAGAAGTGAGGTGTTTATTAAACAGAGAAAGGAAAGAAGGGCCAGGGATTTAGCTCAGTGGTTCCAGTGCCTGCCTCACAAGAACAAGGACCTGAGTTCGATCCCCAGTACCGGAAAAAGAAAAAAGGAAAGAAGAAAGTGAAAAACTGAATGAGTTTGAGGTTTCTCTAGACTGTAAATAGGTGGTAGTCAGTGTATTTTGATGTGTTTTTCCAATTTCCTTTCTATGCTTGATGATATCAGTGTATATATGTTTTTATTTTGGAACTATTCTGATTTTACTGTACACACGTCATTCCCATGTTATAGTCCTTATCACCTGGGGAATTATTAGAAATGCAGTCTCAAAATTTTCCCCCAAAACTACTGGATCAGAAGCTGTAGCAGCAGAAGTGATTGTAGTGTGAGAACCACAGGTACTCAACTCTTTTTGCTTCTTTTTATGTAAACATGGTCATATTTCTTCTGCTTTTACAAAGAAAGGGAAACCACCCTTCCCCTAGTATAATACCTTACTGGAATCCAGCTTCCTCCTCATATTTCAGTTTGACAGATAGATAGCTAGATTTTTGGACATGGTAGTCTACCATTCGATCTCTTCTTCCTCAAAAAAGAGCCCAAATAATTAAACCCAACAACATGTGTGTTGGGGGACACAGTACAAAATAGGATATAACAAATGAACCCGTTCTACAATGAATACATAATCACACTGAAAGGTGATGGGGAGAAAAATGAGCCTAAATCTGCAAAAGAGATCTTGGCTGGTGTCCCTAAGGCTAATAACAAGAATCATAAATATATATATATATTCTGTAAGCCAGTTAGGGATATAGAGTCCAGTTCCAAAACTTAGTATATGTATTTTTTTCCATTTTAGTTCTTCAGTTTTCATGTGCAGAGTTTTTTGGTTTTTGGTACTGGGCGACAAACTCAGGACCTTGCGCTTGCGAGGCAGGCAGTGGCACCACTGAGCTAAATCCCCAGCCCTTCATGTGCAGTTTTAATCTCTCTCCCTCACTCGCTCGATTGCTGTCTCTCTCTTTCTCTCTCTCTCTCTCTCTCTCTCTCTCTGTCTCTCTCTCCGTACCAGGGATTGAATGCAGGACCTTGCACTTGCTAGACACTGGCAGCACCATTGAGCTAAATCCCCAGCCCATAGTTTTAATTTTTCACAGAAAGAATAATTACTTTTAGTTTAAAAATAGCAAAAGAAAACTAATTAAATTAATTAATTTAAAGAAAATTAAACTGTCTGCTTTTCTGAAAATTGGTATGGCAAATTTTATTAAAATTTTTTAATTTTTTATGTGGATGGCTTCTCTGATAAATGTCTGAGAACACAGCCTCTTGGAAGACAGTACGAAGTGTAATAGCTATCAGAAAAACACATTGAGATTCAATTTAACAAACAGATACAAATTGCCAGCTCTGCATTGACAAATTTAGGGCCTTTATTTTTATTATTATTATTTTTGCCTGCTTTATCACTGGGATGATATCTCCCATTGAATGTCCCTGCAACATGATATGCCCAAATATTCCCTCTGTAGTAGCATTGAAATTACATGTCCTTACTAGAGTTTCTGAATGGGCCACCCAGGACCTGCATTGCCTGGAGTGGAAGCCAGGATTTCATTTGTGAGTTAAGAATTTTTATACTTTTGTGTGTGTTATACACATATTAAAACAATTGTAACAACATAGGTTGAGTAGTAAACTGTATTTTTAGAATGTACACAGTACATTATTTGATCAGAATTCAGTGTATCTACTGTTACAAGCAGAAAATAAACGTTCAAATACTCATTTGAGTAAAAAAGTTGTTGAGCACCTCTGTCAGACATGTGGCATTTGCTTAGATGTGACTTTACTGATACAGTTCACTTAGGGCCTCTCTCAGTTGACAGTTAACCAACCAGGCATTAGAGACTGAGTGCCTGAATGGGTGAACTGGTGCTCAGATCATTGGTCTCACAATCTTTTTTTTCTAATTCAGGGCCATGGTTTTCAAATATTTTTCACCCTGTAGTCCCTTTTAGGGATTACTTGAGGCCAGCCCAGACAGACAAACAGCTATTTTTTTTAAGTGATACATTAGTAAATATTGATAATGAGACCCAGGTTTCTCATTTTGGGGGAAAGAATAGAGACTAAAAATGAATGTTGTGGTATTGGCTTGGAATCTGATGTACAGAATCAACTCAATAGTATATAATACAGAGTCCACCCAAAAAAGGTATACACAAAGAAAAAAAACTTGTATAAATACTTTAATACTAAGTTTATTGAGACATCATAAGATCAATGCAGGTTAACTTTGGCTTCTACAATTAACAAGAGGTGTCATGGCCATTAGTTTTCAGACAAACTTCTGACATACGATAACTTCTGAAGTGTGTATACATTGTTTTGGTCGTCTCTGCCTTGACAAGTAGATGCAGAAATACTGATACATGTTTGTAATGAATTAATACATTTCATAAGTGTCCACCAAGAGGCCTTGGAAGTGGTGATGTTCCAATAACAATGGGAACATGTAGTGTCCACATTTCTTTTTCTAAACACCATTTTCTAGAAAAGAATCAGAGCTCTTTGAAGGAAGTGGTTGATTCTAGGACTTAAAATCCATGATGAAGTTGAGCACAGTGACACATGGCTGTAATCTCAGCACTCAGGAGGCCTAGGCAGAAGGATTCCTTTGAGTTTGTGGCCAGCCTAGGCTACATAGTGAGTTCATGGACAGCCTAGAATACAGATTGAGAACCTGTCTCACAAAACAACAAAAAAAACCGAGATGAGACTAGAATATCTTGTGCCAGAGAGTAAAAAATTGCTCAAAAAACTCAGGCACAGTGGTACGTGCCTGTAATTCTTAGTTTGCAGGAGAATCAATCACTTAAGAGTCCAGCCTGGGGAACTTACCGATTTAGCAAGATTATGTCTGATAATAAAGTAAAAAAAAAAAAAAAAAAGACCTGATACGTAATTCAGTGCTAAGGCCCTGGGTTCAGTAGCCAGTAGTATGTTTAAAAAAATAAAAGTGCCGGGCCGGGGATTTAGCTCAGTGGTTCCACCGCCTGCCTCGCAAGCACAAGTACCCAGGTTCGATCCCTGGTACCAATGAATAAATAAATAAAAGTCCTCAAATATTAGAAGAGCCAGGAGCTGTGAAGGCACTTCTAATGGTCAGTATTGGACCAATTTGAACTCACTATGTAGCCCAGGCTGGCCACAAACTCGGGCAGTCCTCCTGCCTCAGTGTCCTGAGTGCACAGGCATGGGCTACCACACCTGGCTTAAAAAAAAAAAAATTAGGAGAAGGAAAATTTACTGAGGAATAAGGATGAGGAATAGGAATAACTCCTGAGAGACAAGAGGGAGCCCAATTGGGTTGCCAATGAGCCCACTTCTCTGAGAAAGTTTTATAGAGCAAAATCATGAGGTGGGTAAAACATGGGTCAAAAGGATAATCGGCCAATATGATTAGAAGTAGAAGGCATATGGGTGACATCAGTAACCTTGGTCAGTAATTTAGTCTTAGTCTTACTGACTAGGAGAGGATGGCCCAAGCCTAATGAGATAATAGTTTATTTATAGGAGAAATCTCAAAAGAGTGGTACCAATAGTCTCAAATAGTCTTTCCTTTATCCTCTAGGAAAGTATGCAAATCTGGCCATTGTGACTAATCTTCAGATGTGTCTCCATTTTCTACATTGGCTCCCTGCCGGGGCTAAGCCTGTCTGGCTGTCTGCAATATTTCTACCTAATTTAGCTGTCTATGATAGTCCTCTGTCTGAAGAGGTACCCCTAATTGCAGTTAGGGGAGAATTGGCATCGTTCACCTATCTGCTTCGAGCTGAGAAGTGTCGGTGTAGGGGAGACTGCAGTCAGGGGCCTTCTCCAGAGAGCTAATCTAATTGGCTTTGGCTGGAAGTCGTGTTGCAGTTTAGCAGTTATGAACTCCCTTTACAAAGTTGATCTAGTGGATCC